ACTAGATACCCACAACATGTCTCCTACTATGAGGTGGAAGTCTGATCAATGAATAATATTGGGTTATTTGAGCACACTCAGCAAAACATACGACAATATACGACAATATCATATATTTTGGATTTCGTGAAGAATAAACTCAGGGAGTTGCAGCTTGGTCTACAAAACTATAGTTAGTCAAACCGGGAGCTAAAACAGCGTGCAAACTCCTTGCACGAGTTAATTCTTGGCGGGTGAAACTTTTAACGCTTCATTGAGTGGACGAAGGCCTCTGGTCTCAGAAGCCGTCCAAGCATCATTACTATCCTCCTATCAAACTGGGTTTCTCTTTTGCAAACCAGCTTTCTGCAGACATTTTTTTCCCCTGTGGGTGGAATTTGGAGCCGAAAACGGCTTTTGCAAAGGAAAACGAATCTCGTCTTCCGAGTCGCAGAAGAAGAAATTATGGGGCATTTAATATTCTCGCTACGGCGTGAAATTGTTTAAGTGGGCTTGTTTTTGTTTTTTTTAAAGTATTGGATTGATAATATGGTTTGCGGGGGAAGGGTGTCTCTCTTTGGTTGTGTGAACGTGTCACCCGCTTTCTTTGATCCAATGGAGATTGATTTAAGGTTATTATAAAGAGCTTTGTTCTAGCCAGGCCAAATTCTGATTGGATTCTCATTTCAAAGAGTGAGAGAATCATAGCTTGGGATTTTAATCCCCTCGGATTTTAACATTCAACTTTAATTATTATTATTTTTTTCAATTTACATGTTTCTGCCTATCTGGGAAGTTTCTTAATTTTTTAGGAATTAAAATTGGACTAGAAAACTCCCAAGTTTTCTTCCCACTCTATTATTCTGTTTTATTCTGTTATTCTTGTTAAATAACACACAGACGGGAAAAGCAGGTGAATTCAAAAAAAATTTCTCCAACCATGTCTGAAAATGGTTTTTTAAAACATCTATAGGATTTTTCCCGCTCACCCAGGACACTAAACTGCACTTCAGCAAACCTCGATTCCTTCACAAACCACAATTATAACCCTGATTCTTGGAATCATTTGCCAAACAGGATTGTAAACACACAACTGCCAGCTACCTTAAATGCTGTCATTTTGGCCAAGTAACCAAGCTTAAAAAAACCTCACATTTTGTGAGTGGCCGCAACCGACAAAAATAACGCAAACCATGTGGTCTGGGCTGTCCATTGAAACATGCACTGAGTATGTTGTGGGGTGTATGTGTGTGTGTGTGTGTTTTGTAACTTCTTAGAGCACGCCAGCAAAATTATTCTGAATATTCTGGCTGACAATGCAGAATGATCAGGAAAACTTTGATCTAAATGAGAAGAAATTCTTTCCTTTTGACTCTCAGATGCTCCCTTGCTGGGTTTGCTCAAAGTCAACCCGTCAGTTCTTGAAAAACATCTAAAAAGCGAGTTTTTTTCCACCCCCAGATCCCATCCCCAAAGAGTCTATTAGGTCTCAAAACTTTATTTTCCCTTCTCATTCTGCTCAATTTTCTTCCTTTTACTCCAGCGCCTCTTTGAAAACCTCCGTCAGCACTTTGCATCCTTTTGCAAATCCATTAAACCGCTATTTCGGGCACAATAACCCTGAGTTAAACTTTTCGGATTTTTCTGCATTCCATCTTCGGGTTGCACCCCAAATTTCCTGCTAGCTGACGACTGTCGTAATAATAATAATAATAATAATAATAATAATAATAATAATAATAATAATAATGATAATAATTGTACTTACCCCAGTTTTGCAGAAGCAGCAGTAGGACAATCCAGCATCTCCATGGTGGCATCGCCCGCCAACGGCTGCCTGGAGGCGCCCCCCCAAACCGCGCCCCCCCGGCGATCGTGTTCCCCCCCCAAAAGCAACCCAAATCCCAGACTCCACCTGCAAACTTTCTCTGCCTGCCTGAATCCCTGAAGGCGGACAGAACAAAGAGCCCCCAACCACCCTGCTTGGTTTTCTAATCCTTCCCCCCAGAAAATAAAAATAAAAATATGAAATCTTTGGTTTCAACTTCCCCCCCCCCGCTTGGCTGCTATCGTGGGTCTCCCTTTCTTCTGCAGCCCCCTGCCCCAAATTCTGAGGCCTTTCTCAATCCTGGAGGGAGGGGGGGGAGCTAAATTGGCCAGCTGAGAAGTCCCATTGTTTGCCCTTTGCCACCGCCTGAGTCATTGAGATAATCGGAGCAGGGTTCAAGGAGGACAAAAAGGGGATTGGCTCTGTGTATTGGGGGGTGGGGGAGAGAGATGGGGGGAGCTACCCAATTGCACTTGGTTTGAGAGCCCCTCCCTCTTTCCTAAGGGATTCTCCTTTCCCAACTTCCCAAGGCTAGGTCGTTCCGTGGCATCCTTCGCACCCATCACCTTCCCTTGCCATGGCCAGGCCAAGAACTCACCTGGCCTCTCACCTGGGCTTCATTTGCATGGAGAAGAGATGGGGGGAGGGGGGTTATTTTTATTTGTTTGGAAGCGCAGTCCAATTCTCAAATGGTAACCGGCTGGCAAGACTCACCCTGCTGGGACCTGCTAAACTAACGGAGGGGAAAAAAGACAAAAGTAAAACTGGAAACCAGTCGGAAACTGGTGTGATGGGATGAGAAGGCAGCCCCGGGGGGCCTTCAAGGCCAGCCCTACGGCAAGGATCCTGCAGTCGTCCAGCATAGGATGCCTTGCCAATCCTCAGAACTGAAATGGGGGGGGTGGAAAAAAGTGGCTTTATTTGAATGCTGTCCCAGGTACTGAAAGTGTCTGGCCGAGCTTGGGGGAAAAATAAAAAAAACAGGAGAATTCTTTGGGTTGTTTCAATCTTGAGATGGATTTAAATTATTACACTGTGTTTGCTAACTTGATTGAGGGCCTCCCTGGGGAAAACATACGGGGGAGAGGCAGACGGAGAGACAGAAAGAGAGAGAGAAATAGAAAGAGACAGAAAGAAAGAAATGGAGAGAGAGAGAGACACAGACAGAAACAGAGAGAAGCAGAAATAGAGAGGGAGAGAAATAGGCAGGGAGAGAGAGAGA